TCTTGAGCCACTCCTTTGTTGCCTTGGCCGTGTGATTTGGGTCATTGTTATGCTGGAATACCCATCCACGACCCATTTTCAATGCCCTGGCTGAGGGAAGGAGGCTCTCACCCAAGATTTGACGGTATATGGCCCCGTCCATCGTCCCTTTGATGCGGTGAAGTTGTTCTGTCCCCTTAGCAGAAAAACACCCCCAAAGCATAATGTTTCCACCTCCATGTTTGACGGTGGGGATGGTGTTCTTGGGGTCATAGGCAGAATTCCTTCTACCTCCAAACACGGCGAGTTGAGTTGATGCCAAAGAGCTCCATTTTGGTCTCATCTGACCACAACACTTTAACCCAGTTGTCCTCTGAATCATTCAGATATTCATTGGTAAACTTCAGACGGGCATGTATATGTGCTTTCTTGAGCAGGGGGACCTTGCGGGCGCTGCAGGATTTCAGTCCTTCACGGCGTAGTGTGTTACCAATTGTTTTTTTGGTGACTATGGTCCCAGCTGCCTTGAGATCATTGACAAGATCTTCCCGTGTAGTTCTGGGCTGATTCCTCACCGTTCTCATGATCATTGCAACTCCACGAGGTGAGATCTTGCATGAAGCCCAGGCCGAGGGAGATTGACAGTTCTTGTGTTTTTTCCATTTGCGAATAATCGCACCAACTGTTGTCACCTTCTCACCAAGCTGCTTGGCAATGGTCTTGTAGCCCATTCCAGCCTTGTGTAGGTCTACAATCTTGTCCCTGACATCCTTGGAGAGCTCTTTGGTCTTGGCCATGGTGGAGAGTTTGGAATCTGATTGATTGATTGCTTCTGTGGACAGGTGTCTTTTATACAGGTAACAAGCTGAGATTAGGAGCACTCCCTTTAAGAGTGTGCTCCGAATCTCAGCTTGTTACCTGTATAAAAGACACCTGGGAGCCAGAAATCTTTCTCATTGAGAGGGGGTCAGATACTTATTTCCCTCATTAAAATGCAAATCAATTTATAACATTTTTGACATACGTTTTTCTGGATTTTTTTGTTGTTATTCTGTCTCTCACTGTTCAAATAAACCTACCATTAAAATTATAGACTGATCATTTCTTTGTCAGTGGGCAAACGTACAAAATCAGCAGGGGATCAAATACTTTTTTCCCTCACTGTAACTCAAAAACAAATATACACTAAAATGTAAGTATAAATATTAATATATTCTTGGTTCTTTCGGTAAAGTCACGTAGAAGGGAAACAATAAAATAATAAAAATATAAAACAATAAAATTCTCACGACGTTTCGACTGCAACACAAATAATCATCATCAGCAGGAAAATTTGCTGTGGTTTTCACACCTGATGATGATGGCTTTGTGTTGCAGTCGAAACGTCATGAGAATTTTATTGTTTTATATTTTTATTATTTTATTGTTTCCCTTCTACGTGACTTTACCAAAAGAACCAAGAATATGAATCCCTGCAGTCATGAAAGCTTTAAATAAAAAAATATAAATGTTAAGTTATTGTTAATTAAATGGAGTGTTAATTACGAGTAAATGTAATTCACCTTAAATAAATGCATATTGATTCCCTAAATGTATGCTCAACTTATTTCGTACCGTACATAGCCAACCACGCTAATCGGAGGTGCGGGGAAGGACAGCAAACTGATCACAAAAAGCAGTTTTAATCGAGTTTTCAATCTAGATTTAAAAGTGCATAGATGCAGTGGCTTCCTAATGTAGGTGCACATGTATTCTGGACATTCCCCATATGAGGAAAGGTTCTCCCAAAGGGCCCTAGAGCTCTGCTGGTCTCGAATCAATGCTGCTAAAATTGTGGACACCTACAATAATCCGTGGGATCGACGGACTGTGTGAAACATCGTTTGTTGATGTTTGTCTGTGGTGGGACACAATGAGTAATTCATTCCCTTGAATGGGTCCCGCTTGGAGAGGCGTTTGATCTACTGGACACTGGTGCAAAAGAGCTTAGGGGCCGTCCATAAATGACGTCACGAGATTTTGGAAGATTTTTTGATCCCCCTCCTCGTCACAAAAAGTCAGACCCCCCCTCAAATATGACGTCACAAAGCTCTGCCCTCCCCCCCCAAACCATATTTCCATTATAAAAATGAAACATGCTTCAAATTGCTTTAAACTATTGTCATTGTAGTGATTGTAGTGCATATTTAATGTGGCGCTGCACTCTGATGTTGTAGGAGAAAACATTTATTAAAAAGGTGTTGGAAAGCTGAAATTTAGCATAAAATTCATTTGAAAATATTCAACGTCTAACTAAAACTGCAGATGTTCAGAATATTATATTGAAATTATCTTATAATTATAAAATATTTAAAGTAATTATAACTATAAAAATAGTTGAAACTGTGTAGTAGAACGAAGTAAAATGGAGAGTACAATTATAACAATCATATATTAATTCCACAGAATGAAAAGCCCTGGCAGAATCATTAGAATCAAAATGTTTAATAACAATCAATAAAAAAATGATCAAAAATTATGCGTCTCCATTCTCCTATGGAGAAGCAAAATGCTCCTTCATGGAATAAATAAAAGGTGACCTTAGTCAATTTAAATAATCAAATAGTTAATAATGAAAATTAATCAAGATTAGTGTTATAACAATTCTATATTTATTCTTGGTTCTTTCGGTAAAGGCACGTAGAAGGGAAACAATAAAATAATAAAAATATATAACAATAAAATTCTCACGACGTTTCGACTGCAACACAAGCAATCATTATCAGGCGTGAAAACCACAGCAAGAAAATTTGAAAAAAGTGGCGGGTTTTTTTTAACGTTAGCACCACGGAGAGCGATTTGGCAGTTATTCAAATGGACGAGTCCATCTATTTTGATTTAAAGCTTTCGTGACTGCAGTAATCCATATTCTTAGTTCTTTCGGTAAAGTCACATCGAAGGGAAACAACAAAATAATAAAATATATATAAAACAATAAAAATTCTCACGACGTTTCGACCATAACACAAACGGTCGTCTTCAGGTGTGTTGGTTTGCATAAATTTATTCGACGTGACTTTACCGAAAGAACTAAGAATATGGAGTCCATCTATGTTCGGAAAAGAGGAGACGAAAATAAGTTGCCTCTGTGGTAGTAGTTACATTGGAGAAACCAAACGACATGTATCGGACCGCATTCGTGAACACAAAGCAGACCTAAAACACGGTAGGGACCAACACCTCGGCCGTGGCAGATCACTGTTATATTCAGTAGGCTCACATGATATTGACTTCTCCAAGACAAAGGTTCTCTGCAAGCCATCTGGCTACCATGAGAGATTAGTTCATGAGGCTATCCACATATACAAACACAGAGACAATTTCAACCGAGAAGATGGATTCTGGCTTAGCAATCATTGGAAGGATGTAATCAACCATTTCGAGTCTTAATTGATTGTTCACGCTTACGGTGGCTTTCAGACCGCATGCATTATTTTCGTCTCCCCCCTCCTCTTTTCCGAACATAGATGGACTCGCCCATTTGAATAACTGTCAAATCGCTCTCCGTGGTGCTAACGTTAAAAAAACGCCACTTTTTTCAAATTTTCTTGCTGTGGGTTTCACACCTGATGATGATGATTGCTTGTGTTGCAGTCGAAACGTCGTGAGACTTTTATTGTTTTATATTTTTATTATTTTGTTTCCCTTCTACGTGACTTTACCGAAAGAACCAATAATATGAATCCCTGCAGTCACGAAAGCTTTAAATAAAAAAATAATTCTAGATTTATTTAAAGTTGCGCATTTTGATGTGACATCACATTTCTCAAACCTCCCCCCGCCCTCGTCACACATCGTCACAAATGTCTGACCCGCTCCCTAGGTGTGACGTCATTTATGGACGGCCACTTAAATTTAACACGTAGTAGGCTTTCGCGACCAATATGATTCATAATAAAGGTTTTTAGGTTAGATCGCGTAAGTATATAAAATGTTGTGTCGTAACCCTCCACCACCCAACACAGCCAATTAGTAAGGGATTTGTCACGTAAACAAAACGCAAATTAGTTACTACTTTGGACCACCGGTGTGTTGGAGAGTAAATCGACAATATTTACAATTTGAGTAGTACGACGTTTCGCTGGTAATAAAAAAAAAACTCTATTATGAAAAAGATCTTCACGGCTTATCGGATTCGTCGAATATAAGTATTTTGATGAAAATAATAGTTTGTATCCTTTCTGCTAATAAAACAGGTGTTAAGATGTTAAAATACCTAATAGACACCTTTTCCAAGGCATCCCTTAAGGGTAACAACTATTACTGTTGATTGACAATTCTGATGCAGGGCAGAGAAACTGGCCAATAACAACAAAGGGGCAGACCGGAAACATCGCGACGGTGACATCATCACTCCTCAAGGGGGGACACCGCGGCGCGCTTTGCCGCGGACCCCCGACTCGCGCTACCCACGGGACACCGCGGGACACGCGGCGCGCTTTGCCGCGGACCCCGAATCCCGTTACCAACGGGACACCGCGGGGCACGCGGCGCACTTCGCCGCGGATCCCCAACTCACGATACCAACGGGACACCGCGGGGCACGTGGTGCGCTTTGCCGCGGACCCCGACTCCCGCTACCAACGGGGAAGCGCGGGGCACGCGGCGCGCTTTGCCGCGGACCCCCGACTCGCGCTAACCAATGGGGAAGCGCGGACTCGGCTCCCCTCCAGCAGCAGAACCAGCGGCGAGTCGCGGATTTCGCGATGAATGATCGGATTGTCACCGCGGTACCATTTGGTGACAAGAAACAGCGGCAGCGTGAGAGCAACACAAACACGGACTGGCGAGCCACGCCGCGTGACGCCTCCTGCCACGACTGCTGTACATCACTGCCAGCAGCAGCAAGCGGCCTTGGTCAATCCACTGCTGGATTAAGGCCTCCACCCTCCCCCCCATATCTGCCGATCCTCTGCGATGTAAATGATAATCCACCCGTCGATAAGCAGCGCGGCGAACTCGATGTCAAGAGCGCCACTCACCTCGCGCACGCTTTGACTTTGTCTACGAACTCGCAGTAACATGGCCTTGCTGATGATGATGATGCTTGCGCCTTTGCCGCTGTCATTGCCGATGGTGCTCCTGTTGCTGATGATGCTGCTGCTGATGGTAGTGGTGCTGATGGTAGTGGTGCTGATGGTGTTGATGATGGTGGTGCTGCTGCTGATGGTGTTGATGGTGTTGCTGCTGCTGATGGTGCTGATGATAGTGGTGGTGCTGATGATGATGGTGCTGATGATGATGGTGGTGCTGATGATGGTGGTGGTGCTGCTGATGATAATGGTGGTGCTGATGATAGTGGTGGTGCTGATGATGACGATGGTGCTGATGATGACGATGGTGCTGATGTTGCTGCCGGCGGCCTACTACGCTCATCGCGGGCCGCCGCCGCCGCCTCTCCCGGCCCCCGACCTGCGTGGCGGCGACACCCGCGGCAGGGCAGCCCCGAGCGCAGCAGCTCGGGCAGCAGCAACAGCACCTCGTCGTCTCCGTCTCCTTCCATGTGACCCGGCGTGTTAGTGTGAGAGATGAGGTGTTAGTGTGAGATGGTGTTAGTGTGAGAGATGAGGTGTGTTAGTGTGAGAGATGAGGTGTGTTAGTGTGAGAGATTAGGTGTGTTAGTGTGAGAGATGAGGTGTGTTAGTGTGAGAGATGAGGTGTGTTACCGGCGTGTTGTTGTGAGAGATGAGGTGTGTTAGTGTGAGAGATGAGGTGTTACCGGGGTGTTGTTGTGAGAGATGAGGTGTGTTACCGGCGTGTTGTTGTGAGAGATGAGGTGTGTTAGTGTGAGAGATGAGGTGTGTTACCGGCGTGTTAGTGTGAGAGATGAGGTGTGTTACCGGCGTGTTGTTGTGAGAGATGAGGTGTGTTACCGGGGTGTTGTGAGAGATGAGGTGTGTTACCGGCGTGTTGTTGTGAGAGATGAGGTGAGGTGGATGAGAGATGAGGTGTTACCGAGGTGTTGTTGTGAGAGATGAGGTGAGGTGGATGAGAGATGAGGTGTGTTACCGGGGTGTTGTTGTGAGAGATGAGGTGAGGGAATGAGAGCGCGTGGATCCGGCGCAGCGAGCTCGGCTCCACGTGTTGCGGGTCACGATCGGCGCAAGGGCGGAGCAATCGAGCGAGTCGAGAGAGTCGATTGCGACTGAACCCGTTCCGATGATCGTGATGATGATGATGATTTGGGATGGGCACGTCTCGTTCTAATCGGAGCCCCGTGTAAATGGCTCCGTGGTGCGGCTTCTAATGCGGAGAAGGCGACTTCGTCACTCCCGCTTGGAATCGTCTTCTGGAGCAGTCCGGTACTGTTGTACAGGGTGGTCCAGATGTCTTGTGACCCCCCCCCCCCCGATTTCATTCTCTAAAACGTAATCTATTTTTTTGAAGTAATGTTTATTTAAAACAGAAATAAATATGCAGAGGCACCAAAAAATGAAGGGGTGAATTATTTGGCGGGTCACAAGACATCTGGACCACCGTGTACATGGCTACCCGAAGGACAGAAGAAGGTCCCACCAGAGACATTCAGCATCATCGTCCAGTAGAAGCGCTTTGATCCACGCGTTCAAGCATTCTCGTGGCCTCCAGCATTCACGTCCTGGTATTGACTGGGGGTGGTGGCCCACTCCCTTAACTCCACGCACCGACCGGGAAGGGCCACAGACTCTCGTCTTCGATGCGAGAGACGAGGTAACCTTTTAGCAAACCCCACGTTTCCAAAAGTAAATGTTATCAATGGACTGGCTACAGAATGTAACAATACAGGGAGCTACACACCGCGTGTAACTCTTGCCCCACGCATATCGGTCCGTCGTGTACGCGGGCGATGTCTATTGGACATCTGTGAAAAAGAGCTTCATAGCTCATCTGATTCCTCCAGTGTAAATAAATATTCTGATGTTGTGCTCTGGCCGCAACACCGACAGCCGCAGTGCCGCTCTCGCACTCATTGTCGGTGAGCCACCACCTCCTGTAGCCTCTGAAGTCACGGCCGTCCACGGCCCCCGCGCCTCTGGGCCCTGCACGGCCCCCACGCCTCGGGGCCCTGCACGGCCCCCACGCCTCTGGGCCCTGCACGGCCCCCACGCATCTGGGCCCTGCACGGCCCCCACGCCTGTGGGCCCTGCACGGCCCCCACGCCTCCCTCTGGGCCCTGCACGGCCCCCACGCCTCTGGGCCCTGCACGGCCCCCACGCCTCTGGGCCCTGCACGGCCCCCACGCCTGTGGGCCCTGCACGGCCCCCACGCCTCTGGGCCCTGCACGATCCCCACGCCTGTGGGCCCTGCACGATCCCCACGCCTCTGGGCCCTGCACGGCCCCCGCGCCTCTGCGCCGCGCTCTCCCGAGTCCCACAGCTAGACGTCGAGGCCACTCGCGCCAACCCATCGCAGGTCGATGATGATGATGCTCGTCGCGTCGACCTCGCTACAGTCAGAACCTGGTGACCTCCCCCTGATCACTGCAGCCTCTCCCCCCACACCACACCCCCAAATCTTCTTCTCTCGTATGGCTGCTGATGTAGCTGCAGAGCAACGGCCAATGTCACATTGAGGCGGTGAAGCCAAACAACCGCGTCAGGTGCAGCGGAGGAGTGGATCGCCGTGATTACATTTTGACTTAAAACTTTCGTGGCTGCAGGAATTCATATTCTTGGCTCTTTCAGCAAAGTCACGTAGATAGAAAATAGAAATTAAATTAAAAATAAAAACAAAAAGCCACGACGTCTCGATCGCAACACAAGCGGTCTCCATCAGGCAATTTATTTTATTTTATATCTACGTGACTTTACCGAAAGAACCAGGAAAATTTATCACCGTGATGTCGCCGTATCTGTAGATCAGGGGCATTGCGTGACATCCCCAAACGTCGTCTCTTTATCGCTGTTCCCCTTGTGAACGAAATCAACCCCAGACCCTTCCTTAGCGCTATCGACAGCAGGACGTAAATCATTCCACACCCGTGGGCTGGCGTCGTAAATCCAATTAACGTATCCTACACACTCAGCCTACGGGGGTTCTTTATGCGTTATACTCAGCCTTACCTTTTAACTGTAGCGCCTGCACTCCTTTTGTTAATCGATGCGGATAATGGGGCAGTGTTCGGTCGTGTGATAAACAGGCGCGGTGGCTAGGAGATGCTAACCACCTCACCTGGTATACAGAAAGTCGTGGGTTCGATCTCGACCCTGACGCCTGCTGTATATTTGAAGTTTGCGTGTCTCTTTCTCTTCCCGTGGTCGGGTGGATTTTTCTCCGGTGTTTTCCGTTTTTTGCCGCCTCCACATTGAGAAACGACGGCACGCGTTTGGAGTTTTTGGCTGCCATAAATGTCCACGTGACGATGAGAAGCCACTTCGTTGAGCTGTCGTTTGTGGCCAGGCCACTTCTGAAAAAGAGCTATGTAGCTCAGTGGGCCTTACCTGGTAAGATTAAAAATATATATGTAATTGTTTAGTTTATAACTTGGATTTTCCACGTGTGAAGGAATAGCCGCACCTGTCTACGTGTGCTGCTCTAACGTGTGGCGATGTCCAGATTTCACCTCCCCTTTTTCCATATGGAGGTATTCCGTCTCAAGTCGCGCGTGCAGGTGATTCGGGAACTTCATCAAAGCTTCTTCCATCAGGCGGAACCATTAATGAGCTCAGGCAAGCCTGTCATGAGAATCGATCTGGCGAGAGACCAGCACTGGTGCTTTATTACAGATCGCCTCCACATTCTAATTATCATTTAATTACCTGCATGTGTCACCTGCAACTGAGAATGGGTGTGTGGAGCGGTAGTTTAGTGGTTAGAGCGCTGCGCTACGAACCCGGCCACCCCAGTTCGATTCCCGCTCACGGCCAACACCAGTGACGATTGAACCGGTTCTGAGCCTCCCCTAGGTCGATTCAGCCTGAAATGAATACCTGGTGGGCCGTGTAAAAGAATCGGCAATGGTGGCCGCGTGTGTTGCTGGACACGGACTCCCTCGCGTGCCGTGCCGACATTCCCAGGTGCTCGCTAACAGCACTTGCCCCAACAGTCGGTTAAGACTCTGCAAGGAATATGGTGTTGTTGGGCAAAATGTGTACGCTCGAAACCCCATCAAATCGCGGCTATAATGCTTTATGTGTCCCAATACAACCTGGAACACTACCACTGTGTAGGTTTCCCAATACAACCTGGAACACAACCACTGTGTAGGTGATCGTGGCTGTGCGGCACAACCTGGAACACAACCACTGTGTAGGTGATCGTGGCTGTGCGGCACAACCCTCCGATGTGTTTCCTGTTACACCGCGTGTTGTTCGACACGATGTCCGACGTTTCGCGCCACGTGCCGAAAGCTTCTTTGGGAAAACCGAATTGAAGAAAAACACTACGCTTAGAGAAAGTCGCTCTCAGGCCATCGGTGTAGGTGCACGCGCGCGTGTCGGTGCGACATCTACATTTAGACCGCATGGCAAGTCGTAGCGGGTCGTACCGCACTCGTCACGCGGAACGAGCGCGCGCGCATTAACGCGTCCACTTCGTCAACGCACCGGAGCGAAGTGAATTAACGAGCGCATGGAACGGACGCTCCCATTAATATTCCCCTAGAGCAGCAGGAGTTGCGGGGAGGTGGGGGGGGGAGACCCCTTCTCAAGACCATCCTTTATACATAAATCAAATCCCACAGCACGCACACACACGGCGTATGCGATACATGTTTCATGCGAAAAATTATACACATTATACATTCTGGCCGATCTCCCTCCTCTCTAATTGTTTGCAGGCTCCAGGGGGCGTCCGTCGGACTGAATACCAATTGGGGGACTCGCGGAGCGCCGCGCAAACTCCCCTCGCTCGCCTCTCTCGCTCCCCTCCCTCCAAGCGTCTCGCAGCTCTCTGCGCGCGATGCGCGGACATCACGATGCAATGTCGTGCAGCGGCGCGGTCTGGCGGAACAGATGCGTTATTTGACATCATACAACATTTTTGTTGTTGAAGAACCCAGCCTCGCGCGCATTGTTTTTAACCTTGATTGCCTCCTGTGCGCAGGGCCCCGAAGCTTTGTGAAAAGAAAGAGCCCCATTCAGCTGATGCCCCCTTTGTGACGCGTGGCGGCATTGATGCCCACGTGGTCCGCCTCACTCCGCCTGCCGCTCGATTGCCACGGGCACGGAACACGGTCGGTGTGTGTCGG